GGTGTAACGAATAAAGTAGGTTGGAGGAGTCGATAACGTCCCCGCAACTTGTTTTTCACCGAGTTAGATATAATTCACACATTCACTATTTCATAGCCGATATGGCTAGTGAGAAATGTCAATGATAATCATATAGAGAAGACAACAGGCAGCTGAGTCGCAAGGAATTTAATCCATCATGCTGAAGGCAGACCAACAACAACTAAACTCTGTAGGAATGTGAATGTTTTGACCAGTTTGCCTCGCCAGCCAGATGGTCCGTGTTCAAAGCACCTACATAATGGATGGCATCTCTGACAGTACAACTACTTAGCGAACGCACGTTGCGTTAGCTTGGTAATGACAACAAGAATAGCGTATGCATAAGGCCGGTTTGTCAGAATTATTGTTGCTCGTAGGACGTGCATTAATGATGCATCTGTTCTAATCAAGTTGCCTGAATGCTGCAACTGATTGCATCAGACATCCGTACGATAATCAGAACTTTCATATGATTTTCAATTTAATAAGGTCACTTTCGGACTTAGCCAAATGTTTTTTGCCGCTGCTGCAGCATTGTATCACTCTTCTCTCTAAAAACGTTTTCCCCATTTTTGGTCTTTGGTCTTTTATGTAGGATTCGAAATGTTCAGTTTTTGATTTGAGCAATATTTCTAATTGTTAGAATCATTTTTTGATTTTGCATCTCATAAAGTTTTCAGAATTCTCCAAAGGTGACTTTGACCGAGCGGTTTCTGTTGTTATTCTTCCGGTTCTGCTAATCGCTTCGTCTGCTTTTATAATGGAAATTTTCGCCGCGTTCATAAGGTATTCGCTATTTTATCACTGACTTAGACGATCTGCTTTTTGTTAATTGTTTTTTTATATATTATGTGCCCTATTGATGACAGTGTGCATGCTGTGAGAAGCGTAGACTCAGACTAAAGACTTTTTTGTTGAAGTATGTCCACTATACTTTTAAATATTTTGTCGGAAAACATTTTCAGAAGTTTTGCTGATTTTGCGTCAGAAAGTTCTTTGCGAAGAGTTTCAGTTTTCTTACAATGTTTGGCAGTATCGCTCATTGCTACAATTATGTTCTGCATAAGTATGGTAAGTATCGATCTTGCCTATTTGTTCTTACTTTTAGGCTTATTGAGAATGAAGAAACTGTAGCTTAGTACTTTGTAATTTCGAAAACATTTATCGAAGCCATATGATAAACATTGAAGATGATAGTCCTTTCTGATTCTGTGATACCGATACGAAGAAGTATATTTTATTCACTTAGCGAGACACGTTTCTTCTGCAACGGGATGCAATGATAACTTTACGATGGCGCCAACGAAGTTATGAGAGATATATGAATTCGTTCAAAGCAGCGGCCAACAGATTAATTATAAGTTATTTAAGCGACGCCTGTGTGATGGGTGGTGTCCGATCACAGATCAGATAGGAAAATATCCATATCGCCTCCTGGAATGGCGACGGTTAAACGGAGACTTCAAGCTGGATGACGTTATCCGAATAGCTAGGCGGTACCACTTTGACCTCTTTTTGCCAGTCTCAATGCGGTGAAATGAGCCTTGAACAGTTAATCTCGGCTGTCATTGGTCCCTTTGATTCAGTCTTTGCAGAAAGACTGCGGGAAAACTGATCGACAGAGCTACTCTGAAGTGTACTTTCGAATCTTCAAGCACGGGTACATATACTTGTACGTGTACATACGGAATTCAGATTAAGTGATAGCCACTTAGCACCTACTGTCCACTCAGTCGTGATAGTCTTCTGATGAATGACCTACTGCCTGCCGTTAGTAGTTTTTACATCGTACACGGTTAATATGGTTGATGTGGTCACAGATAGTTGTTGAGTCTGTATCTTAGAAAACATTTTATTTTATTAAAATCATAGCTTTCTCAGTAATTTTTTTATTTTAGGTACCTTTGACATGGCTAGACCGAGGAACGCACAGGCAGATGTGGCCCTCTCTCATCACTCTACAGCGCAGTACTGATAAGTACCAGCTAACTCATGCCTATGGATTGTTTAGAACGTATGGAATTTATAGTTATATATATTTGCTTTTTCATTTTGTTTTATGAAGTATGGTGGACAAGATACGGCGTGGGTAGGGGCAGTTAGAATCCTGATTCTAAAAACCATTTTGTTCATTTTATCCTGCGCTTGCATATTTGACACGTGATGCAGAGAGACATAAAATATATCGCGTCTGAGCTTTGACCGGATTCAGTCGAAACTTCTTTGCATTTCTTTGCTTTGATAATGAGCGGCAGAACTGTTTTTCACTAATTGTCCCTACTCTCGAGACTAGCCCACTCGTCCTTATTTTTCGTTTTCGTTAAACTGTCACTCGTATAATCGTCATTGGCGAAAATGTAAGAATTTCAGCTCCCTCACACCTAATAAGATATGCTTTTTTCAGTTTTAATTATTTTCAAGTTTGAATGTCATTTGATAATTTCCTTATTGCTAATTATCCTCACACACCGGCATTACATGTTCTTAATATTGTTATGGCTGTCACCGTTCATTGGTTTACCCTGCTTCAGTGACATTCTGGATCAGTGCTTTCCACCTTGGTCGATCACGCGTAGTGTTCGCCTCTAAGTTCATTGAGACTTTCTTCCACTGTTGTACACTTTGTGAGGTTCTGGCCACGGATAAATTTTTGTAGTCCACTTGGAATGCAAGAATCATTGGCGGGTGAGGAGAAACACAACTGTGTTAACCTATGAAGCGAGTTCTTACGCCATTTCTGGATCCATCACAATGGGACAGTACTGCAGTGTCGGTTATGATAGTATCTCACCAAGTCTTAACTTATCTGCCTCTTTTCCGGTGTCATCAAGGGTTCGCGGTTGTGTCCAGTGTAATGGAGATTATATGCGATATGGTTTACTTCCCTGCATGTACCCAAGCCAACACCGCCGCCATTCCTTCAAGGCTCAGAAGAGCTAGTTGACGTTGTTTACAACTATTCCGTGATATTGTAGCGCTGCTTCATTGTAATTTAACACCTGTAGTGCATTATCGCTTTTAGAATGACCTTTTTGATTAGAGCAATAATCTACTCGCCTCCAGTAACCCTTCATGAATTGATAGTTTTAATCAGCAGTTCCTACTTTCAAATGGGAATTTACCCTTTTGTTCCGTATAAATTGAGTTTTGATTTGGAACTAGAGTGAGTTGAAACCATTACTGCTGTCGACAATTACACATTCAGAAATTATGCCACGTTATACGATAAAGTTCTCTTGCTTCTGCACTCTTAAGGTCCATATAATTAGACCAAGTCTATGTGCCATTGGAGCACCTGTTGTGGGTGGATACGTTATTGCATCATAATGCTTTCCTGAACCACATGAATTCTCATACACCAAGTGAAATGCTTTACTACACTGTAAGATTCAAATGTGTTCAATTACTGATGTTTCATTGCTTTAATCACAGTCCATCTTACTTCAATAGTTAACTGCTTACTTCAGGAAAAAAGCTATTTTTTTGGTTTCTGTAAATAAGGAGAATTTGTCAGATTTCATGATCTTCAGCGAATTTGAATACTCTGCTGAACCGAAGGCTCATATATCCTGTACTTGTTTAATTTGGTTGATTCTGATAATTTTTAATACGCCAAGGTGCTGAGTATTTGAACGAAATAACGAAACCAATCTCAGACAGTTTAATTTTTAAGGCAGCATTTCTTACTTCAATTTTTTCTTGCTGGAAGTCAGTTAGTTTCATGTTTCTGAAAGTAACTTCATTTGAAATTATCTGATGTGCCTATTTCAGCATGACCGGTGTTGGTGGGCGCCCAGAAGTTACTGTCGAAGGAGCTATGTCTGAGAGTGGTCCGTGGAAAGAGTACGAATTTTTGTACAAGGTTGGAAGCGTGGCCCGACGACCTCCTGTCAACAGTTATAATAAACAGTAGCATTTTTTATTTTAAAATTAAATGTTTAGTCCCTCACCAACCCCGAATCGATTGGCAGCTTTGGTTTGCTGCCTTGGATTCGTCTTATTTAAATGATCCGTGGTTTATAAATCTGGTTTATCGACTGTTTACAAATTCAACGGAAGGTGTGTACTTTTATAATGTTATGTTATCTCATGTCTATTCAAGTATTTTAGTCTTACACCTTATCGATCGAAATCCATTTTTAAAAACAGCGCCAAAATTCTTGAGATCCAATCGTTATCTGTACCACTACACAACTTTTTCAGATTTGAAGTACCAAAATTGTTGGTTTTCCATTTAAATATTAACTAAACCTTTGTTGAATGTAGGACAAAAGCAGGCTGGTGGTGGCGAGAATTCGATGGTGTTTTTATGCCGGTCCTTGCACATGATAACCCACATTTGAAACAATACTTAGTGGAATCTGGAATGGTTCTCGAGGTAACTCGTCGTTTGATTTTCTGATATGAAATATAACCTTTGTAGATTTACATATTAAATGTAACCTGATCAAACTATTGATTTCCATGCTATAGTACCTGTGAAGAAAAATTAAGTAGTTTCTTAGAAATTTCGTAAAGGACATTTCGATTCTGATCCCGCATTTGATCGGTTTTAAAATTTTTGATTCACCGCTTGCATCCCTTGTATGTCCAAACTTGTGAAATTATAGACCTTGTAACATCTTATACTTACTATTAGCGTGATTCGATTGCTGATAGAGGCCGCAAAGCGCATCCAATGTCAGTATAAAATTTTACCATCTTCTCTTAATTTGATATGCGTCAGTCGGACAAATATATTATTTATGCTTAGGTCGTTAGACTTTTTGATATACCTGAAGGTTTTTTGCAGGCACAGCATCTGTCAGAACCTGGTTCTGTTGATGGACTGTTTCACATTTATTTCGCTTTGCAGTTTTTCAGATTTTTCCGTAAGGTCTTGTCAGCTCCTGCTATTTGTGTATCAGAAAGATTTTCTTAATATTTGCGACTATCATCATCATCTTCTTCTTCTTCTAAGATTAACAAAATTTGAGGAACAGGAGTACTCTGTTATGATTCCATATGCTGTTGGTTTGGTTTCTGAGACGGATACTCGCAATCGTTCGGTATTGCTGTGGAAAATTCGTTTTCAGTCAGAAGCTCTTTGTGTCGAACTTTTGAAATTAACTGACAGACGAATGATCTGACAAAAGCTGAACGGTATAGTTAACAAAGGGTCATTTTGTTTGCTTAATGTTGCTGGCGGATAAATTTATGGAGACCTACTCCTGAACTGTTATTATTGCTTATCTCATCACAGACAGCGATTGAATTATGTGATATTGAGTCATTTTTGAACCATTTTATTCTCATTTTGCTTTGCATCTATTCTTCGGTTGACTGAAGTATTCATTATGTTAAGTCGTATATCATTGTTAATTTCTTAATTATCCATATTTTATTATAGCTGTAACTTCATTTTAGAATATACCTGATCCACCCCGAGGTGTAGTTGCCGCTGTACTCTCGACTTTGCGCTGGAACGTAGAAAAAATGAGAGCTCCCGAGTTCCTTTGGGCAATCACATCAACTATACTTGCGCCGAGCATAGCCAGAAAAATTCTGTCAGTGAAATAGTGCGTTAATTTGTTGTTACCTTTATTCTATTTATGTTTAGGAAATTATTCAACTAGTAGTGAGCGGACGGACTAGCGTTTTTGCTTTTGCTTTTTTTTTATAGCACTGATGAAGTAAAAGTAAGATTCTTATTTTAGAGATTAGTTTAAAATCTTGCTACGCTTGCTGAAATGGTGCATAATTTCAGCCTACGGCTAATCGTTTACTATAAGGCCAACAAACACTAGCGAATGTGTGGCTAGTGATCGCACATTTGGTGACGCATATACATAGAGGATTCAAAATGAACGAAAATATTGTAAGCATCGTCGTCGTAGGCTAAACAAAAATGGAATCTCAGGGTCCCCATCTCAATTATCCTTGACCTTGTGACTAGTTCTGCATGGAGATAAATGATTGCGTGAAAACAGAGCGTACATGCTGCAATTACGTGGGAATATATCCCGTGATTGAATTACTCAGTTTGAAGACTGGGTGGAATCGCTTATTCATTCTTAATTAAATAATTCAGCACTTAATGAAGCTGAAATTCATCATTTGAAACTACTGATCGGAATGCTTCAGAGCTACATTTGGCATGACATCGTGTGCGCCGCTCCAGCTGTTTACTCGATATAACGCAGCTTCATAATTCAGATTTCCGTTTCTGTGAAGCTGTCCATGCAGCATCTTTACAGAATAGGAAATAAATGCTGGTAACATTTTCATCTTTGCTTAAGGCTAAAAAGCCTCAGCATCACAGTGACAAAGCAGAGCGTCAGACAAACTACGCGAGTTTGTGATTGTCACAAATTTAAATGAATGTTTATCGTCGCCTTAGAAAGTTCAATACCAATGATCTTCGTCATTGGCGTAGATAAAAGATATTCACGAAATAAGTAGTAAATAAAATACGATAGAAGAAACAAGTACAGCTTTAAGAATTGTAAATTGAAGCATCCCGCCGTTGCCGGTCTCAAGCCTGGATCAGAAAGGACAAGGGTTGGAGACCGTGGCAAGTCTCCGTAATTTAAATACTCATGATATTTATGCCATCAAAAACCATACAGGCACGGTCATCACCCGTGTTGTCAAGGGCCGCGCAGACTGTTGATGGACTGAGCCGCACTGCGAAAAGTGGGCGATCAGAACCTGCAACTTGAAAACTAATACCCTATACCGTCTCCAGTTTCTGTCATCTGCTGCTTGCCTAGCACACCGTAGCGGCTAATGTGACGATATTCCACTTCAGCACGATATTTTATTCGATTGTACATGCTGTACTCAAAATAGCAACTCAGAACACATATTTAGAACTTCTTGCTTGAATGGTGATTTGTAGTATTTTAAAGTCTTTAATACTCGACGTGCCACACATTGCTTTCTGCCAGCCGGGGACAAAGCAGCACAACAACGGCTGACGAAGACCGACTGAACGACGGCGAAGATACCAGTCAGCAACGGAGTCGCTACCCGTACTGAACGGAGGAGGCAAACAGCGCGATGCCATTACAGCACGTCAGAAAAGGCTCCACGAAAACGACACCA